CCCCCCTACACATCAGAGTCCTCAGACCCCCTTCACATCAGAGTCCTCAGCTCCCAATCACATCAGAGTCCTCAACCCCCTTACACATCAGAGTTCTCAGTCCCCCTTCACATCAGGGCCCTAGTCCACCCTTTACATCAGAGTTCTCAGTCCCCCTTCAAATCAGAGTCCTCAGCCCTCCCATCACATCAGCGTCCTCAGTCTCCTCTTCAGATCAGAGTCCTTTATACCCCCTTCATATCAGAGTCCTCAGTGACATTTCAATATCTCTATTGGTACAACGCGGTGCCCTCCGGTTGTAACACGTCACACCATGATGCACTGAAAAGCAGCAGTGCATGCAGTACTCTTCTCAGCGCGCACCCCATAACTGAGCCCATTACAAAGAAGGCAAATTACCTTGTATGTGTATTAGGGTGTTGTAGGGTGTGAATGGTGTGTCTGCTGTGAATGGGCCCTCAGGCCTTGTTCACACCAAGCGCGGAGCAGGTGCAGAGCAGATCAGTTGCAGACCGGATCAAAACTGCGTCCAATGTATTCCAATGGTATTTTTTGCTCCAGTTCACATCGCAGTGAGCAGTTCCAGAGCAGATCCAGAGCAGGTGAAAAAACTGCAGCAGGCCCTATTGTACCTGCTCTGGATCTGCAAACACATCAAAAACGCATGCAAATGCCTGGAACGCACTGAAAGCCCATTTTAAACTTTAAAAAAACCCAAAAAATTTAGCCAAAAAACATCAAAAACGAGTCAAAACACATCTAAAAGACTAGCGTGCGTGTGCAGAAACCTGACCGGATCTGCTCTGCATTTGGTGTGAACAAGGCCTCAGTCATCCGGTCACATTTCTGTTCATAGGTATTGTTTCCAAGTCTGTAAGAATATTAATACAATTGTAGCATGATCACATCCAATGGTTAGGTCACGTCGGGGACATTTTTTTTACATTGTGCTCATTGTGTAGATATCAGGTTGTTGAAAGAAATATATATAGAAATATTTCCGTACACAATGTTTCATACAAAATGTGCAGACTGAACCGCCGATCAACTAACGCTGCCATTAATTTTGTATGAACGCTCATACGAAAAATCTAATTGGGACAATCGATGACTCCATCAGAGACGTGATAAATGTAGTTGGAAATGTATTTTATTTTAACATTCACTTTTGGAATGAATGTAATTCCCTGAGTGAAAACCACATTTATTGTTAGAATGTTGTTCCTTCAAGAGAAAGTTTCCATCCTGCTCCTTCGTTTTTTTTTTTTCCATCACTGTGACCGAAGCCGATTGCCGATTTTACCCCATTAAAGGAGAACTATGAGGTAAGTGAAAATCACTCAGCCTCATAGTTCGAGCCGACGTGTGACAATTAAACTGTCACACGTCGGCTCAATAGATCAGGAAGTGAGCAAACACCTAGCATCGCTCGCTCACTTCTCGATCCTGCCCCTGCAGAGAGCCGTGACTGTCACTCACGGCTCCCTGCAGGGATTCCCCCCCTCCCCTGTCCGATCCTCCAGCGCTGACTGGCGGAACGGATGGGGGAGGGGCGGGTACAGCTGGCTCTGCCTCTAGACAGGCAGAGCCAGCTGCCAATCACACAGCTGGGTAGCTCTCGACAGTAATGTCGGGATCCATCCCAGCTGCGGAGGTCTCAGTATACCGCGAGCTGTAT